TTAAATATGAAGTCTCGCTCTTGTGCCCCAGGCTGGAGTGTGATGGCGCGATCTCGGCTCACTGCAACCTCCGCCTCCTGGGTTCCAGCGATTCTCCTGCCTCAGCCCCATGAATAGCTGGGATTATAGGCATCTGCCACCACACCCAGCTAGTTTTGGTATTTTTAGTAGAGATGGGATTTCACCATGTTGGCCAGACTGGTCCTGAACTCCTGACCTCAGGTGATCCACCCGCCTCATCCTCCCAGTGTGCTGGGATTACAGGCATGAGCCACTGCACCCGGCCTCACCCAGCTAAACTTTTTAAACTGAACAACAGTTGCAGAGCTGGTGAAAGTGAATCTAAATCTAAATAATATAATTTCGACATATTTTCAAGTTAGTATTTGTTGATTCTCACTTTTAATAATTATACATTTCAAACAGAAAATAATATAACACTCATATGCCTACTGCTCAGATTTAATTGATAAGAACATGTTGCCACACTATTGTAAATCTCTTCCTTCCTATTTTTACCTGATAAAATGTTGTAGATACAGATAAAGTGTTCATCTCCATTTTCCTCTTCCTTCCTAGAGGCTATAGCAATCCTGAAGAGAGTGCCTGTCATTCCCATGATAAATGATATATACTACTATTTTCTGTGGTAAAATTGTAATTAATCATGCTGTTGTGAATTTTCTATTGTATATCTTTTCAAGCTAGTGTTTTTTACCACTTTTTTGAACGATCACATTAATACTTGTATTTCTAGAATGATGATTTATTTAGACAATTCCAGAGTGTTATATGAATATATTAATGTATTCATTATATATTATACACAATACATTAATATATTCATTAATATATTCATGTTATGAATATATTATATAATATATAATTAATATATTAATCTATTCATAATATGAATATATTAATTTTCAAATTTAATTTCCTATTGGGGGATTTAAAAATATACAGCATTGCTGAAACATCTTTACACGTTTCCTTGTGCACATGAATGAAAGTTTCTTTTATGAGAATGCTTTTATATATGTATGTATACACATACACACACCGGTGCATGGCATATCCTGGAAGTGGAAATCATGGCCCATAGGGTATATTTATGTGCTTGTGCCAAACTGCTCTTCAATGTGCATACACCCATTTACACTTCTAATTACAATATTTAGGATTTCCCATTTTCCTTTATCCTTAGGTTATCAGACTGGTAAACATTTTTCCAATTACATGGATATGAAGCATTTTTTTTTTTTAATTGCATTTTCTTGATTATCAATGAGTTTAAATATCTTTTCAAATAGTTATACAGCTGGACTTCAGCATTTTAATTCACCACCACCACCGTTTTTCAATTTTTTTATATTCTATACTGATTAGTGTTCATTATGCATTCTGGGTACTAATCCTTCCTGGTCATATGGATTTCAGTGATCTCCCAGTACCACCTTCTTTCATTTTCTTCATGTGGAGTGTTATCATGTACATGGTTTGTGGGGTTTTTTGGTTGTTGTTTTGTTTTCTCTTGAGATAGGGTCTCACTCTGTCACCTAGGCTGGAATGCAGTGGCAGATCAAGGCTCGCTGCAGCCTTGACCTTCATGGGCTCAGGTAATCCTCCCACACCAGCCTTTCAAGTAGCTGGGATCACAGGTGCATGCCACCACACCCAGCTAATTTTTGTATTTTTTTTGTAGAGACCGGATTTCGCCATGTTGCCCAGTCTGGCCTCAACCCCCTAGGCTCAAGGAAGCCACCTGCCTTGACCTTCCAAAGTAATCCTGGGATTACAGGCATGAGGCACCATGTGCAGATCATGTGGAAGTTTTTAATGTTAATGTTTAGATGCTATTTATCTTTATCTTTTTAAAATTAATTATTTTTAGAGATGGGGGTCTTGCTGTGTTACCCAGGCTGGACTCCTGAGCTCAAGAGATCTTTCACCTCAGCATCCTGTGTCTACTGGGTCTGCAGGCATATGCCTTGTGCCTGGCTGGATCTTTCTTTTTTGATGGCTTTTTTTTTTTTAATAGCTTAATTCATTTTTCCTTAGAGATATCACTGAGGTCTGATATTTTTTCATGAAGTATCTAAGTTTTATTCCTTTACATTAATGTTTTTAGCCCCTTTGGAACTGATTTTTATATATGGTGTGAGGTACAGATATTTCCATTTGGGCAGTCAGTTGTCTTAGCACCATTCATTGTCCCCTTTCTGTTTTCATAATGCCACTTATTTCATACACCCAGTTCATGTATATGCGATTTGTTTATACCTTCTTTGTTATTCCATTTGTATATTTGCCTTATCTGAATCAATAGCACAGTTTTAACAATTCTCACTTTATAAATCCCTCTTGTTATTGTTCTTCAAAACTTTTTCTGTTCTTGCCACTTTAGTCATCCGTATTTCCAAAACAGCATACAATTTTGGGTTTTGTTTATAAGTGCCTTGAATTTATAGGTGAAATTAGGGAAAATTGTTACTGAGTTTTATCACCCATAAATATGTTATATTTATTTGTCTTTTATTCCTTCAGTGAAGTTTTATAATTTCTTTGAGGATCTTTTTTTCCTAATGTGTTTTGAGGTACCTTATGGTTTTTATGTTACTGTGAATGACCTCTTTTAAAAAATATATTCCTTTTATATACTAGGTGTTGCTCACATTTAGAACATTTTCAGTGAACTCATTTAGTCCATTGTGACAAAATCAATTTTAATGAAATTTGGGCATAGAGCTGTAGAGTGCTAATGGAACATACAACAAGACATTTAAGGGCATTTGACCAACTGTTGATACTATTTTGTTTTCACTATTGTGTACCAAAAGTCTTACTTTTTCAAAGTTTGAAAATAGTAAAATAGTGGATTTTCAGTGCAGGAGAAAGTTATTATCCTATTGTTATATATACATCTAGGTTTTTTGTTTTCCCCTTTCTTGCATGATGAATTGCCTAAGCATTTGATGAGTAAATTGTAGAAGTCTTGTGCCAGCATACATACAAATTTGAGGTAGATGCCGACGATCCAAGCCATTGGCCTTTTTAAATGTCTTAGCTCTGCCTTGTTGACCATAATGTTTTGGTTCATTATAGCCCAGTTCAAGCTTAGAGATTGGTAAGTGCTTTTAAAAGAAAGTTGTTTGTTTTTTTCATCTCAAGTTGACTGTAGATTGAATGTCTGTAGGTTGACTATAGATTTTATTTTTTTTTATACCTCAGCAAACTTTAGATTTTGTTGTTTCTACTTTTTTCTCTTCTCATTAATGTAGATATTTAAAGCCTGCTATACTTGAACTTAATCTCATAAATTATGAGAAATTTTAAGTAAACAAAGCAGTTGAGCCTTCCCAGCCTGATAATCGGTAGCAATGTGTCAGTACCAGTGCATCTGTGATTCTGTGATTTGTGCCACGTTACCAGGCTAAATTTGAAGAGGAAAACTCGGTCAAACATTCTTCCAGCTTAGTTGTCATCTTGGATAGGCTGAATGGGAGATATTTGCAAGGTGCATGATTTGTTGCCATGTTGTTTTACGTAGATCTGCCACCTCTAGCTTGACTTCAGGTTACCATAAAGCTGCAGAAGTCACTTTTCTGATTCGTCGGGGCAGAACACCTGAAGCACATTTTTGAGTTTTCACAACAGGACCTCTGATCTTTGTCCTGCTATGTTGACTGGTTTCATAGAAGAATATGTTTTTGTACTGAGTTTTAATTCTTCAGTGGCAGCTGAATAATAAAATAACTTTGTTACATTTATGATTCAGCTTAATTAATGATGACATTGTTAGTATTCCTGCCTGTGTTTTTTGTTTAAACTTATAACATCTTTCAAGAATAGTGTACATATCTGGCTGGGAACTGTGGTGCATGCTTATAATCCCAACATTTTGGGAGGCTTGGGTGGGTGAATTGCTTGAGGACAAGAGTTCAAGACCAGCCTGGGCAACACGGTCAGACCTTGTCTCTACAAATAATTTTTTTAAAATCAGCTGGGCATGGTGGCATGCACCTGTAATCCTAGCTACTCAGGAGGTGGGGGTGGGAAGATCACTCTAGCCCAGGAGTTAGAAGGTGCGATGAGCTATGATTGCACAACTGCATCCAGCCTGGGTAACAGAACAAGACTCTGTCCAAAAAAATAAAAAAGGAACGTGCATACATTATATTAGCTTCTTTTATAATCCCCTAGCTTAGGAACTGGTCAGTAAATATAGAGTGAATAACAGACATACACTGGAATTATCTTTATTAGTTTGTTATACTTTCTCTTTAAGAAGTTCTGTCAAAGAAATTCTGAATTTATTTTGTTTCTTTACATGTTAGCTAGACTCATGCGTCATTTAGCAACAACAAAAACTTATTTGATAGACTGAATGTTTACTTCTAGCTATTGTTGGCTATGTCAAAGAGACCAGATACCTTAGCCAAGAATGGTTATCAACACTGGAGAAACTGAATATGTGTGTGAGTAATCTTTTGAGAACAGGCTGGTATCATCTTTTTATAAAGGGATCGTATTACACTTCTAGAATTTCAGAACTTATTTTGTATAGTTGAAGCTAAGTCCCTCCTTTGATTGCTAGAAATAAGGCCATGTAATATTTTTATTTCAGCATTTGGATTTATTATAATATGTATTATGATTTTTAAGATTTTGTTTTTCATTCTTTTAGACAGGTGCTCTAGTTCACAGCTATAGGGGAACAGGTGGAATTTTTGAAGTTTGCTGGAATGCAGCAGGAGACAAAGTTGGAGCCAGTGCATCAGATGGTTCAGTAAGTATAGTAAAGTATTTCCAAAGAGGGTGTGGGTGGATATTCACATCAGAATGCAGCTTATTGTTAGTGATACCAAAGTTTTGTTTTTTGTTTTTTTTTCAAAATAAATTTTAAGGTATGATACTGATTTTTTTTTTCCTGAGGCTGTAAACTTCTCATGTGCGTTGGATTTAAATAATGTAAACCAAATTTAGGCTGTCCTTACCAAAAGAGTACCTTATAATCTAGAAATGGACAGTTATTTTTAATGTGAACCTTCATTTATGAAATTAGGTATACCAGAGTAACATTCTGAGAAGGATTGAAATTTTTAATGTGTATTTCTACCTTCTCCTCTTCACAGAAGAGTTTTTTTTTTTTAGCTCAGGGAAGGCAGGACTAGAGGTAGTTGGTTCCTGTGTTGAGGAATGTGTGATACTAGAAGATTTTCAGAATGAGGTTGGCCAAGTCTTTACAACAATGCAAATATGGCTTCCAAAGCTGCAGAAGTAACAGAAGATGGGAAAGGGGTAGCTATTTACTGACGCCGTAGCTGAATATAATACGTGATATCTTTCATTAGGGTCCAATAGATAGGAAATGGTTGTTTTGAGCATTTTCTCCTACCTTTTTAATCAACAGAGTATTAAAAATCCTAGCCATGGTTCTTCCCTCATAGTTTGAGCTCATGGTTGTTCTCTTGACCTGCTTAAATCTAATTTCTGTCAGTTAACCGCTCATTTCCATGATTATCATGCTTCACCAATTTTATAAACTTGGAACTAAGAAACATTTCAAATTGTACTATAGAAAAGTTAAACATAAAATGTACAATAAAATTCTGAATACACTGGTTGATTATTCTAATTTCTTACAGGTTTGTGTATTAGACCTTCGGAAATAGCGCTACTAGTTGGAAGCCATGGACCGACTATGAATGTGTACATAGCCAAAATGACTGTCCCTGACCCATGTACTGCTATAGTCCCACTTGAACCATGGCCAGTCCACTACAGCCAAATCTAAAAGAAATATATACATAAGTGTATATACACAAAATTGCACCCTGAAGATGACAGAGTTTTGTCACAGCTTGTGAATTCTGTTCACCAAGTGCTGGAATCTAATCTGCTGTGCCCCTAAAATAGCATTTAGAAGTTTTGGATATGAAAAACAGAAGAGAGAAAAATATACATTATAAAAGCAGAACATACATGTACCAGTTTTTGGATACTAAATGACAGCCTTGTTTCTCCCCTTTGAATCAGCAGACACCATGGATTATATTCTTTTTTCCCTTCAGTAGTGAGCAGTTTGTATGTACAGAGAAAATGGACTTACAGAAACTTGCAGCAGTAGTTTGTTCTTGCTTTAAAATTTTGTTTTTGGTTTAGATTATGGATGCATGAAGTAAGGGAGTGAATCAGTTTCTTGTTTATATTTTTTTCACCTTTTAAACAACAAAAAATTCTTTAAAATATTTTAATGCATTCTTTTGAAGAGGTAGATGTTTGGTACATTTTATGGCTCCCAGAGCATATATTCAGTTGGTGCATGTTGTGGAAGGGGGAATTGGAAATTAAATGAAAACCTATGACTTTGGTCATGTCAATCTGTAAGACACATCAGTAAAAGGGTATTATGCTCTGTTGGTTTTGTTTTTTTGTTTTGCTTTTTTTTTTTTTTTTTTTCTGTTTTGTTTTTTGGTGATGTGGCTTAAATGCAATAGTTTCTTTTTTGGGACATATTTCTGCCAATTAAAGACTAGAAGGGCACAATTTTTTTTTTAAATTACCATAGAGAAGATACATTAAAAAAAAAAATCTTCTGATGTTTTGTAGCCATAACTAAATTATGGTAAAAGTGTGCACTATTGTGAAAAGGAGCAAAGTAGTTTTGGGTTTTTTGTTGTTTGTTTGTTTTGCTTTGTTTTTTAAGAGATTAAAATGTTTCTGGATAAGGATTAGCTTCTCAAAGTGTCCATCATTCTGTGTAGAAGCTTAAATATGTAAATGTAACCAACCTCCAGTATTAAAAATCTCTCATGTTGTTTTCTTTATACAAAGCAAGATAACGGCATATAACACTGCCATTACATGGCAAAATGTTTGCTACCTTAGTTTAAAAAACAATCTCAAACAAAAGACTTGCTTCAAGGTGTTTTTAAATAGCAGTGATTCAGAATTTTTTTTATGAAAATATAATTGCACTAACCTTCTTCCTGCTGCTCTGATTCTGCATTTGTGGTACTTGTGACTACGTTTTTTCAAATATAGATCGATTTAAGCTGCTAATTTTTTTTTTCAGTAATCACTACTATATCATGTCTTTTACTCTGTTTATAATATCAAGTATTTTCTTAAAGATATAGATATTAAATTAAACCTTGTGCTCATGCAAGTTAGAGTAACATATACAAATGATTGCATGAGGCCATGTTTATATGTGTGACTAATAAGGCTTGTCATGATTAACATAATCCAGGTATGTCATTTCTGAAGAGAATAGTCATCAAATTTATATCTCAAAGATTTTAATTAAGGAATTGCTTATTGTTGAGCTTAGCAAATTAATAACACTATTTCTGTCACTAATTATTTTGAGGCCTTTTAGTACTAAAATTTTAACCTGTGTTCTAAGTTTAGGTAGAAACTGATTTAACCCAAGTAATGCAGCTTTGATTTTCAGCATTTGTTGCTTTGCTATTTTTACAAAACAGCATTGATTGAAGCAAGTCTTCGTTTTACTAAGGTAGGGTAGCATTTGCTATTGGTAAAGAGAATAAATACACTTAATTTCACAATACATTGTTATATGTACCCCAGTTGTTGTTAGTGGGGACTATGATACTGTAATAATATTTTTAAAAATTTACATCCAGAGAGGCAGTCATTCACGATGGTTTTGTGCCAGCTCTTTTTAGGGTTTTGGATCACATTAGAGATATTTAGAACATATTACCATGTGACTTACGTAGGAAACCTAATATGCTGAATATCTGGCACTTGAATTCCTGCTTTTATTGCTGGAGGTCCACATCTGTGGTTGACCTCTGTTACTGTTTAAAAAAAATAAAAATAAAAAAAATCTGTGCAATAATTTTAAAATGTGCTCCCAGGAATAGACACAAATGTTTTGAGTATCTTTTAAGCTGCATTTTCCTTTAGCGATGCATTTGTCAATTGCACTGAATTTAAATCTGAAAGTCAGAGGTGATTATTGATAGTACTTTTGTATTTTGATATGGACAGTTTATTCATTTGCATACAGTTATTGACTTTTTCCCAGCTGATTAAAAGATAGTCAAGAAATTCTGCAATATAGCTGCCAAAATAGACAGCTACATTTTTATATTGTCATCTTTTCTGGTGTTTTTTTTTTTTTTTTTTTTTTTTTTTTTTTTTTTTTTCGTTTAGCTATTTTACTTAAGCATAGTAGCCACAATAGGACATATAAAAGATTATAAATACAGAGCTTTATTATCCTGACGTCTTGGGTCTTTTAAGTATACACTTTTCTGAAAGGTATCCATTTTGTAGGCTTGGGTTCTTCATGAGCATACGATTGTTTATTTTTGCTGCTGTTCTCAACATCATCATTGCCTGCTGATGTGCCACGATGCTGCTCCAATAGACAGAAATAAGATTGTCTCTAATTTGAGCAGTAACATGATTGCAAGAGACCAAGTTTCACAGCTTGTAAAGTTCTGTATTTGGGATTCTTGCTTATTTTTCCGCCTGTGTTTTTCTGAGAACTTATTCCTGATGATCAATTGAATCCAGTAGTTTTTCTATGCTATTTGTTGTTGTATAAGCTACTGTAAGAAACTTACAAGGAAATATAGAAAAGAAAACTTGAATGAATACTCATTGATTAAAATGGAATAAAGAAAGAGCAGCTGCCACTTTTAAACAACATAAAGGAATATCTTTTTTTTTTTTTTTTTTTTT